TGTATGTATGTATGTATGTATGTATGTATGTATGTATGTATGCATGCATGCATGCATGCATGTATGTATGCAATGTTAAATGTGACGGAAAACGGATCATGCTGTAAACCAGTTAAGAACACCGCCTATTGTTGTTTTTGCAAACTAAGAAAATAGGTGTAAAGTAAGTAAGTAACCTTTAAAGTATCGGTCTTCTTTGCAGTTGCATGATGGAACCATTTCTGTTACCATTTTTTCCATGAAGTTGACGGTATAGATCTGGTGCCATTTTCATGCCGTGAAAATGCTTTTATTTAGTGCAAAGTCGACAGTTGTTGTGTGGCAAGCGTAGTGAGTAGCTCTACTTTTTCCCGTATAGTGGTACTCGTTTATCATTCTCGGAAGAAAGAAATGCGAAAAGCCGGATCAGGACCCAAACTAATGAACTTTCAGTTTTTGAGTCTGACGCTCTAACGACTGAGTAATGTTGGTCTATAGAAACCATTTGAAGCCGTGGTGCGATGAAATTGCATCTGAGGTCCACTATATTTTGCATATACTTTATAAGAATTCGTTTGTTTAACGTAGCTTGACACGACAGGTTCGTTTGTTGCCAAGACTGGAACCAAAGCTTTGCGCTGATTCAGGTATTTCCAAACATAGTGTATCAGCTATTACATTTTATTTACTTATCAGCCAAGAGTACGCTTGGTCTTAATCTGTCATGCGCTTCAGTATGTTTTAGAACATTTTCAATGAATATGGAGTACGGTTCAGAGCCGCGATTGCGGAGAAGTGAAAGGTACAGAAGAAAGCAGTGATTATTAAGACCTGCCCCAAAATGTTCTCAAAAGTTTTTACTGATGATGTATTTTGCTCAGCTGAGTTAACTGCCATGATTTGCGAAATATGTGCGCAACAGGCAACGAATGCATTAGATAAATAGAGGAATGGGCAGATAGGAATACAAGCGGACAGTGAAACAGAGAAACGAACTATGATATAAATGGATATGCAATAGATCAACAAGCGTATGCTTGAGTGATCCTCCCCTTGATTCGAGTGTGTAATTAGTAGCCCTCTTGTTTTTTATGTTCGTTTTAGTCGCAGTTTAGCAAAACTTTTGCTATAAGACAGCGGTTACTGCATCGTGGAAGGAAATATTTTTCTCCAAAAGCAGATATACACCAGTTTTGATCCTTTATGTCGCACGTCGGCCTCCTGGTCGACGTTTGTCTTGTTTTGGCTTCCACACAAACTGCTCGCTGACTGAAGTAAATACTCTGTGCTCACTTAGCGTGTTCAACAGGCCAACTTCCTTTTCTTAATTCCTCATCTACAATTAACAGCTGCACGTTTTATGGCATATTGTTGTTTTTACGTTTTCGCGCCGTTTTGCACTGATTGTGCATTTTAACCGTTGTTCTTGGTCCTTCGTTGGAACAACTACCTCCATGCCGTGCATCAACTATGACCTGTTTGATATGGAATGCAGGCTGATTTTTGTCGAAAGAGCTTCTCTTTTCTAATCCCATCCAGAGTTTGAGAGTTTGTCGAAAGCACTGTACTCGAAGGCTTTCCTCTTATTTAACTCTGATTTGACGATAGTAACACTGGAAATAAAAATACAGAAGTATTGATGGACGGACAGTCAGAAAAATATGCAGCAATGAATAATCTAGCGGAATACGGATCAATACAAGATTAACTGATTATTATGTATATAAAAAACTGGTCTTGCAAACAGAAGCACTTGTTGATTTTGCGCATCTGAGTAACGTTTGCTAAAAGGTGTTTTCGCTGGAATGCCACGTTTAGTCTTTTCTGCGTCATTTGATCTCACTATTTGTCCCCAAACCGAACAGAATCACCTTTTCCAAGTGCTCCCAGTAAAATAAGCGCCTAAGAGGCCAGTCGCCATTTGTTCTTCAGTTATTGATTGCTTAATATTTTATTTCTTTGATCCGCAGATTTAATGAAAAATAATGTTCAGATTAGTAAAAAATGATGTGTTCCACGGAGGCTTAAACTTCCGATCTTCAGTTTGAAATGAACTTAAGCTGTCCGAACCTCCTCTTACTTTACCCTTAATGCCTTCCCATAAAATATGATGATATTTGTAATACCATCGTAGAACGTTGTTGCTGATTTTATGTTGATCTGTGATTGATGCTGATTATATGAGTTCTAATTTGTTTTTAATTAGTTTCTTATGGAATTCTCTCTGTCCTTTTAATCACGTTTTTCTTTAATTTATGCACACGAATAGTCTTTGTTTGTCATAGGTAATTTTCTATTCAATTTAGGCCAGCTAGTCTTGGAAAATGTACCCATCAAGCGCAAGGCTTTGCGGAGGTTCAACCTTCCAGTGTACATAAGCTCAGGTATTGTTGGCAAACTAACGGTGTCGATCCCCATTACTCGCCTACACGTCGAGCCTTGGGTGATATCGATCAGCGATGTGAGTGTTGTCATAGAATCGAGTCACCTTGAGGTATGCATTCCGTAACGTTTTCCAGTCCTCGTATCATGTACTCTGCTCTTCAGTATGACGTGGAATTCGATGAGCAGTACGCACAATTTAAAAAGAACGAACAGATGAACGCATTGGAAATCATTCACAGGGTTTGAATATTTTTCATTTCCGATAATTTATAACTCATCCATTTTGTTTAGAAGCATATATACCAGTCATTCTCGTACGACAACAGCTGGTGGAACTATGGTACATCTTTGGCCCTTAGGATCATGGAAAATGTGCACGTAAGTCTACGGAAGAATATACTATGCTTGTCTTCAGTAACAATGATTCATGGCTGATATTGTGGCGACAGTTATAAATTTCGTGTTACAAAACGCTGATAAAGACAGGAGGTTACACATACTGCGACCCTCGGCTTGATATTAGCTCTGTTCAATCGGTAAGAAAGCGATAGCCCAAATACGTCATCTCTGCAGGCGATTCTAACCTGGAAATGCAGGTACTTTTGCCCCGGTCGCAGAGACGATTCGCCTAGCTCTGTTTTCCATACGAATTAGCCCTAAACCATTCGTGCGATCCAGTGAAACTTTGCAATGTGGTCTTATCCCATGAACAGAAAACGCGATTTTTTGGAGTCACCTTAGATCAGACTTTTAACTGCTCACAGAACCTAGAGCAAATGATAAACGAGACAAGAACATGGGTCACCGTCATTCCAAAGCTCGCTGGTACGTACTAGTTGGCACCGGACGTCTACACAAGCTCTGGCATTGTCGATTGCGAAAGTTTGCGCACCAGTGTGATGCAGCACCTGCCACGTCTAAATACTCAAAACAAACGCCGCTGCACGCATGATCAGAGGGATCTTCAGTACAACCACCTCTACTTTGAAATTATTGAAACTTGCTTGCAGCTCCAGATTTGCAAATTAAGAAATCAATTTAACATTACCTATCTGACTCAAGTTAAAGAATGAACCCATTGTTCTACGGCGGTGATCGCCGAGAAGGATATAAACACACGCTAGACTGAATCTTGAGCCAGAGGTGACATTCCAAATAAAACCCTTTTGACACCCGTCGAACGGATCTGGCAGGTGCAGATATTTTTTTAATCGAAAGATGATGGATTCTTCACTTTGAGAATATAGTGGTGTTCAAACGCCATTGACCATGGAAGACATGACATATGACTTTCGCACGTACGGCAGCCTCGATGAAACAAATGCGATCTACTATGCCAACCCGGACTCTTACGTGATTGTCGAAACTGCAATTAGAACTAAAAGAACATTCACTCGTTGTTCTGTCAAATGAAAGAAAAAGAAGAAACTCGTATTTCAGCAAGGTCTTTCAGGCGACAATATAGAAACTTGAAGACCATCTAACGTTGCTCACAATCACACTGTGTATTCCAGCAACAAATCCCAGCAGCTTCCATCACCATAACACCGTCGATCTACTTTTTAAGACTTCAAAGTAAGTGTTGCCAGGGGTTATGTTTTATTGTCTGATCTGTTCACTGCATACCTCACTGAATGTTGTGTCGAAACAAGTGTCAAGTACACTGACGGCTTATTTTTTGTTTCTTAAGTGCGTAAACCGACCGACGAATGCCTTTCCCTCGCAAAATTGCAAAATGTGATCTCATGGCCTCCGAATAAAAGTGAAAAAATGACTGAAACTTACATTTCGTTTGACGATGAAGAGGTTAATTCCTAGGATCACTTAAAAGGTCGATGGATTGCTAGAGAATAGTCGATTTTCACAGGAGTCTCCAAAACAAAGTTCCTCAGCATAAAATTGAACAGGCCGTTTTCATGAATTTTACAGGTTTCGTGACTAACTACAAATACGTTAGGTTCTTTTCGCCTATCAGAAAATAGTTATCACGATTGAAGCAGCATACTTCGTTTCTTTAAAAAAGGCTATAAGGCATTTATCATGCTGAAATAGCCTGAAAGGCAGGTATTGTGGTCGTACGAGCGCTTACTTAACTTACTAGCTGACTTTTACCGGCGTAATTTAGAGTCTTATACATGCATAAAGCAAGTTTCATTGTTAAGTCGTTGAATGTGCAGCGCATCTGGAGAACGTATCCTCTCCCGCGTAAGGTATCTGCTTCATAACGATGCAGCTAACCATTCTTTGACACAGCAATTTTCATCGGCTCGCACTATCCTTAACATTCTCTAGTGTCACGTTGAAGCTTTTTTACCGATGATAAATTGCTTTGATCGTTCGCTACCAAATCGATCAGCACTGTAAAACTTGTCGTTGCTAAAAGAACACTTCCACAGCTGATAATGAAAATATTGACGTTAAATTTCCGTTACAAGCTTAATTTGTAGAGTTTGTTTCCATAATGATAATGTTTTGTAGCATGATGATTGTGGAACTTCTGTCTTTACTGACAGCTTCGAGTACTATGAGTGCTGCTACATTTCGTGCTACTAAACAGAGCTGTTTATCGTTTTCTTCCATTCCTGTTTTGCTCCAAACCTTATTGACTGTCTCCCAGTATCATATTATCATTTTAGTTGGTCGCTTCCAACATCAGCGTTGTGTATCGAGACCGTTCTACGGCAGCGGATCATCCGTTCACTTTGGGTATTAGCATATCTGAGCTGACCATGCAGAATTCTGACAAGAATTGGGTATGTCGTTTTGATTTCCCCCACTCACTATAAAAAATAACGTTTGTCATGACGAATAGGTTCGTGGCTATAACGTACGTCGTCCTGACGAAAACATGTTCAAAATTATCGATCTGGTAGGATTCAGCGTGTACTGGGATTCTGGCTGCTCCGAGGACGAAAATATCGTTAACGCTCTGGCACAGGTGCAAATAGCTGTAATTCGTTCTTGCAATGCGCTTACAGACTGCTTTTGCAGTTAGTGTTTGGTCATGAACGGTCATTGGAGCACGAATACATTCTACATCCTTTGGCGATGACCGTTCATATTCAGAAGCGGTGTATGAAATTACCTTCGTCAGACTCGCAGCAGCCGATACCAAAATATCTGGTACGAAACAGTATGCATGGGTAATTTATTTGAGGTTACACATCATGTGGTGATTATTACAATGGAAATCATTTATCAGGTGGGTCAAGATAAAGTGCAGCCACTACCTCGCTTTACATCGTACATCATGACCGCACATCTGGCCCATTCTGATGTGAACATACCAGAATACTATGTTGTTCGAATTATTATTCACAAGTCGTAGACCTACTACCCGTTTATCCACTGGTTACGTCAAGGCAGTTTATTGCTCAGGAGAATTCACGCCTTCAGAGTTCCAAGCCGTCCACTTTACTGCTCTGCTACCACGCCTCCACAGCTTAGCGATGTCGAAGATACGAACCCGGTACCTTTCTCACATGCAAAGCGAGAGTTGCACCCCCTAGACATGAACGCCACTTTATGTCAATGTTGATACGTGTATCGAAGTTAATGGCTACAAGATCAGGAGAGATCAGTAAAAGGCAAGTCATTTAGTTGAACGGTTAAGATCAAGAAAGTTAACATATCTCTCTGAGATGCCCTCACTTAGAAAATCGAGACATCATATTAGCGATGGCTTCACGCAGTGTTTGGATACCGGAGGAGAGATGCGTGAGAGGGACTGTCTTCGCAAATATCTCTTCATGTTCCAGCAACTCGTTATCTTCATGCCTTGAAAACTAGAGCACAAAATTTGTTTGCAATTGTCGGAGAATAGAGAACGACAGGAAAGTCTCATGGAACAGCCGTACTCGTAAACCAAAAGGATACGCCCGCTGTGAAAACTGTGGAAGAGTACAGATGAAAGCGAAGGATCAGTTGATATTTTTTTACATATTAAAATGCAATTTGTTTTAATGCTGAGAATAATGCCGATTCAGTATGCACAACGGAGGTATCAAAAGTAGTTGAAAGAAAGTACTATAGTAGAGGAAATGTGTTATTTCGAGACGGACATTTAACTTTTTAGCAATTCAGAAGCCTAGAATTGCAGTAACCAGACGCAGGAAAACAGCAGAATATAATAAATTAAATTGATAGATATACAGGTGACCTATTTGTGCTGATTTAATCAGATATAAGGTGAATCAAGGCGAACTATAGCCCTTAAGCACAAGCGTCCCACAGTTCGTTCATGCCTCTTGCACTATATTGTGTTGCAACACCAGCGATGACGTACTGACCTGATAGATATGAAATACGTTTAATAAAAGCATGTAGAACAGTAAATTATTAAGTAGTATTAGTAAACTAAACTAAGCATGTAAATTTATTTTTGATTTAGTTTTATTCTAAGTAATCTGATCTGAACATTAATGTACTTTGGAGATTTTGAACATAATTAATTTATGTTTTGACAAAAACGCAAAACATTTTACTTATACACAACGCAAGAAATACTATGAACTTCAGGATAACAACTGAACTCTACTGTTTCTTAATGCCTTAATAATTAATTCCGATGACTGATATAAACGGAAAGTTTATCATAAAATTTCTAACACTCATAAATATTAAACGTTTAAATCAAATAATCATTTAAATAGTGAAAGTTCTGTGGTTACAGCTTTGATAGACAGAGCCTTGAAGCAACATAGTAATGAATCTCTTACAGGTGAAATAAAGTATATCAAAATAACTTTATGCAATAATAATTATGCAGCGTTCGTTAAATTCGTTAATAACATCATTCGTTTTTCGTTATTCGTTAATATTCGTTAATTGTTAATAACATTGTTAATTCGTTAATAACGTTATTATTCGTTAATCGTTAATTCGTTATTCTTTAATAACATTTATTAATTATTCAGTGATTCAAATTCAAATTCAACAATTCAAAATAATTCACTAAATTCATTAATAACATCATAAACCGTAGAATAAGCCAGCTTAAATCTATCTGTAATATTATCATAACGAATAATAAGCCTAGCTTAATTCTACCGTGTCATGAAAACTTTAAGAGTGACAAAGATTACTTAACACTAAATGTAATATTAAAAACAGTGTTAAAAATTAGAAATTACAAAGATTATTATAAAACTAAATATTGCACGTTTTTAAATAATTCTGAGAATGGTAACTCCGTAGGCCAGGTTTAAAATAATAGTGTGACTGCGGAAAATATTACTTAAGAGAAACGGGGAACACCGTCACGCAGAGAACAAAATCTCACTTTTCAATTTGGAGAAGATGGATGATCGCGGAAGAGCGTGAGCGACAAGTGGTAATGAAGTACCAAGGAAGAAGACAAAGTCTCACCCTCAGCAAAGTCAAGGAACAATGGAAATGACCTCTGGGAT